CAGCTGCGGAGGTAAGTGGAAATGGTTCAGTAGGGAGGTTCGCGGTAACACTTTAAGTCAGTGAGTGCAGTCGGAACCCCTTACACATCATACACCATTTATCCTGGGAGCATTGAGTTGTAATCTTGTTGTATAGTCACGCTCCCAATTATATAGCATTGGGGCCGTGTTGTGAATTGTAGTTCGATTCCTTAGTTGCTTCACTAGGGATCGAACTAATCTATCTCATATGGTTTGAGGAATTACCGTCCAGGGTATATGGTGCAACAGTGTTTGAGGAGAGAGCCAGTTAACGTCACTAAGCCCAATATGAGTACATGCAGGTGACAACAACTATGGATAAGCAGCAATAATGGAGTAGATAGCAGAAGAGCAGAGAGCATGTAATACGAGACTTCCCCTCAAGGTGGCAGTACCAACACTTCCCCTGTATATAGAATGGCAGAGATATACTTGCTGTTTGGTGAGAGTCCAGTCAGGGGAAGTGTATCTGTTCCTTGGTGCTGGGGGTATCTGCAGGCTGGATCGATGAACTGTAGCTCCAGAGGCTGGTCACGATGGGGGTTCCTAATAGCTTGCTCGACGTACTATTTTGCTAGAACGTCGAGCAAGTGTTCAGCCTCAGTTTAAGTAGGCAGAGGCAATTGTTGGGGGCGGAGCCGGAGACGAGACCCGACCCGAGCGTCTCCTAGCAACGGGACGCCGCCGGGCCTCGTCCGTCGCGTCACACTGCCTGTGAGAAGGAGAGGGGGAGCGCTGCGGAACGGCCGCCCGTCGCCTAGCAACTGGACGCCGATGACGGGGCCGTCCCCGCGCTGGCCTCAGAGTCCGGCACAGCCTGCGTTCCTGACAAAAGGTAATAATCCCCTCTATTGGCCTAGTGGTTTTCCTGTTAAGGTGAGCCACTGGCAGATCCATGGTGGGTATAGACCACCATCTAACAAATTTTCTTTCAAAGGGAACAACTTCAGCAAATGCTTAGGTGGGGAACAGGACCCTTCAGTGTGCTACAAATCCACATAGAGGAATACCTCAAACAGCGGGGTTAGCGAAATGATCTTTTCAGCTGTAGCTGTAGGGGCTGTGAAAGACCCAAGCTGGAAACAGCAGGATGATCCCCCAGATACAGAGTAGCGAGTAGTCTGAGAGAACTGGAAGAGACTGCAATTCCTCAAAAGCAATCAAAGTGTATCGGAGGGTACCCTGTATCTGAGTCATAGATGGTCACTGTTTTCAGTGGCCCAGCTTCTAAGGCTGTGGGGAGATCAGAGATGGACTCTGCAGAAAAAAGGTGTGGAAGCACGCTTAGTGCCTCTAGGGTCAGTTCCCTCAGATGGCATGCAGTCAATGTCCGCAGAACCATTAGGATAGGGTGAGTAGTGGGACTCTCACCCCTGTTTAAATACAGGCACACTGTGACCACGCAGCTGTGATATAACCGAAACAGGTGGTAAGGGTCAAGTGGCCGGAAATGATCAAAGTCACTGTAAGCAGACAGTAGATTGGCCAAAGATAAGAGTTCCATGTGGCCTTTTGCCAAGCAGGAGCAGTAGTAGGGTGATGGCTTCTCTACACTGAATGGTGGGAAAGAAAGCATGGAACATGGATGACAGTGCTCAGTTGCTCAACATTAACCTTTTCATCTGTAAACTGACAGAAGAGAGAAATAGAAAAAGTATCCAATGGTCCAAATAGCAAAGTAGCTCCCAGTTGTCAGCCCATTCGGCCTACTTACAGAGAGAGTGTTCAGAGACAGGGGAAGCACTGAGGCAATGTCAGTGGCTCTGGAACTGAAAAGCGCTTTGTGGCTAATTTGATACCAGAACGGCATGTGAAAAGTACCAAATGCAGAATCCAGTGCCCAATGGGCAGTTCCAGGCTGCCCCCACAATGTCCATTTGAGAGGGATCTGGATACTGATTCCAAGGTCTGCTGAGGAAAGGCCGATCTGGAATGCTGCAAAAGTATGTTGTTTTTTTTTTTTGCTAGACTTTGCACATGTACACAGCATATAGATGTTTGCTGCATGCAAGTTCCATTTCCTAAAGCACTGCTGGTATGGTTTATTGAATTATGCAAATCAATAATTTGCACATACATGTGGTGACTACATAATTAGCAGATGACCATAGGATATGTCCTGCTGCCATTTGGTCAACACTGACTCAGCACACCTGATAAGACAACAATATCCCCTATATTTATATAGTCCTCAAGGTGACTACAGAAAGAAAACCTATGGTGATCGTGTTTGATTGTACTGAATGATCTATTTACAATGTACCAGTAATTGTGAAGTGGTTCAAAAGTCTTTTTGGTTCACCCACCTTTTATAACCTTAGTGTTCTCAGAGAGTCTCTACATATTTATACCATGGGTGGGATATATGGGTCTGTTGTGAAGATACTGTTACCAGCACATATCTAAGCACTTTACCCTCCATGACAGCCCTGAATGAGCAATACATTTATAGACGGCATTGTCAACTAACTACAGTTTCTATTTGTCCGATGGCAAACAGAAAGACAGCTCCAAATTTGCCATAATATTCAGATGATATCTGTCAATGGTGGAGTCTTCTAAGTAGCCATGTTACAGATCTTTTCCACCAAGGAGGTTTTAAAAGAAATGTGTCTGACAGGCCTGGAGGTTGTCTCATAAGCAGAGCAAGTGGCAGGTTTAAAATGTTTTGCAATACATCCCTAGAAACTCTGTCTCTCAAACTGAATAACAAAGTTTTGGTTACCACTGAAGTTATGGAAAGTAATAACCTCTTGAGGTTCTTTTAACTAAGAGGATTACTATGGACTAAAATGACTAGAACAGAACTAAAATGATCCTCGCCCCCAAATAAAATTAAATAAAACATTTTAATGAAAGAACTCCATCCGAATTGATTTGTACCAAAAATGAAAAATTTGGATCGATATGAACTGAAAAACACAAAATTCAGAGTGATCTGAACCGAAAATCAATCCAAATTCAATTTCAGGTCTAAAATCCCCCCAAAAATATAATCAATCGAAACTAAACACATTTTTGAGCCTTTACATGTCTAATTAAAGCAGACTTGGTGAAAGAATCAGCTTTCCATCTCCCCATTTTACCTTCTGCTTCCTGGACTACCACCAATCGAAACCTAATGATTAGAGAGGAGTAAAGGGTTATTTGTTTACTCTTCCCACAGTGTAGTGCCATAACATACTTCCTACTCTATGTTTCTCTAGCTAAACAAAAATCCCAAGCCAATTCAGGGTACAGTCATGCAGCTAGAAAAAGAAGCTACAGATAAAGTGCCTCAGGCTATGTCATGGAACTGGGAAGTAACAAACAATTCTTTTTTATTTCATAGTAAGAGAATACATTATGCCTTATAATCATCATGTTTCTATCTGAAAGAAAGATAGCTGAACTTATTAAAAATAAATCCCTTCAGGCTATAAAAATAAATCCCAAAGGAAGATCCCTGCAATAGAAGAGGTAGTATACTCACCTCTATGGAAGCCAGTTTCCTACCATTGCTTTGCTCCATTGCTGGTGCTTATGCCAGCCTCTTCAACATTTGGGACTTATGGAAGGAGGGCCTTGCTGAGCGCTGTATTTTCACCCATCAACTTCTACGTCACTGCTGAGTCCTGTAATGATGTCGGTGTTGGAGAAAGGAACCACAGTGTATAGCGGAATACAAATGTATGCGACACAGCCAGAGGTGTGGTAGGAGACCTAGGCTGCCAGTGAGGCTAGGGTAAGTGCTCTACAATTGCAGGATCCTTCAAGTGGTTTTCTGGCCTGACAGTGTCACTTTAAAGAACTCTAGAACAGCATAAAAAAATTTTTAAAAAATTATATGTATAGCCTCCTACATTTGTACAATATTCAACATTGTTGTAATTATAAGAACTTCATCAAAACCTTTTGTGAAATACATTTTTTTTTTTAAATGTTAAAAAATTACGTAGGGTTCCTTCCCTCCCCCAAATCAATACCAAACCCTTATCCTACACAGTGGTCTGGTATGGATTTTAAGGGGGGACCCCAGGTAAAAAACGATGTGGAGTTCCCCTCTTTACATCAGAAGCCCCCTTCACATGAGAGTCCCCCATTGAACAAAATTTTGAAGGCACCCCTGACAAAGACAGAAGGTACGCTGGTGAGAAAGGCTGCTCTGGAAGTCCAAGAATGGTAACAGTGCAGACTTACTTTCTACACTTCTAGGAACAAACACATGTACTGTACAATTAAAAATAAAACCTCTAATTATTCTATAATATTCAATAAAAGTTACATTTTTACAAGTACATCATTGCTATTCTTCATATGGGATATATTACATGTTCAAATCATTTCTGTAAAATAGCCAAAATCGACTCATACAAACAGACCTTGAGGGCAGGGACTGATGTGAATGTCCTGTATGTAAAGCGCTGCATAACATTGTGTGTGATGCGTGTTCTTACTTGAATCATGGTGAGCTTGGTGTATTTCTTTCTGTGCAGTAGTCCAGTGTGAAGCATTGCCTGTTTGCAGCAGCTTCCAGTAACAAAGACCGGTCCCTGCTGCTCTCTCCTCTTATGCAGTGACTGGTCTTGTATCTGCCCGCCTCCGGTAGTTTTCGGAAGGCAGCCTGTAGTGGGTGGACCTGAGGGGTCCCTCCCACAGCTCTGCTCTCTGCGCAGGCTATGTGCAGCACAGTGATGATGTCACTGCTACATTTACAAAGTATTAACCCGGGGTTAGCAAAGGCATTTGAAGCACACAAAGTGGATTTATATCCTTTGTTGTTACTGGGGAATGCATCTATATGAAAGTTTTTGTGCCTGGAGATCAACTTTAAACGGATGAATTTAAATGAATTAGCTTTGAATGTATTTACAAGGCTAGGAAAATGTAAATTTGTATTAATATGCTGTGACAATCTAATCACGTACATGAAGAGAAAATCACCAAGAAAGAGACAGAATTAAAAGTGCACTTTTTAATGATCCACAATTGACTATTTTCTAGGCTTGTTCAAGCTCTAGGAGGACACCATCACAGTCTTTTGGGTGCAGGAAGACAACTGGCTTGCCATGGGCACCTATTTTAGGCTCTTCACTTAGAAGTCTAATGTTTTTCTTTTTGAGATCAGACATTGCTTCTTTGATATCATCCACCTGTGAAGACACAATAGACAGGGAAGTTAAAGGCAAACTGCAAATGATGCCATGATAGGAAACAACACTGTCCATAAAGATAAGATGTTCTAAAGTTGGAAACGTTACTGCCACTGGTAAATGACTGGTCTGTTACATTTTACAGGACAGATTACATTTTACAAGTTTTTCCATTGAGAAAAGGAGATCTGGCACAAACATGAGCAACCAAAGACAGGCACATGATGAAAATGTCCTTGAGCAGAGGATACCTTTGGGCCTTGTATACATCCATCCGCTTTAGTACTGCAGTGCTTTGCATATAGAATCCGGTATGAGAACCATACTACTTTATTCAATTATATTGTTCATGTACATATGATTACATGTGGAACCTTTTATAATAAAAAAAAACCATGCATAAAGCTGTTGTTGAACAAGAGCATAAGCATGACTCATTGAAATCAACAGTGCTGTATGTCATAATGCACAGAGACTAGTTTAAAAACAAGTTAAAGTGAAATTAAAATGTATAAATTTCCTGCATATCAACACAATGAGTCCATCCAAAGACACAGACAGCTAAAATCATATGCAATGTCAAGGTTCCTGTTAAAGCTAGGCTTGACCCTGCTACCCCTCCCCTGTTTTTTCCCATTGGTAAAGGAGGTTGCCCATCACATTAAAGCACAAATGGGCATATTACCACAGCCATGTAGACAGAGGTAGCAGTTCCAAAGCCAAGCGATCAAGGTCTGAAAATCATGAACGGCTTTTCAGGCAATTATAGGTCTTTCACAGACACTTCAAAATTGTGTAAAAATATCATGTTTTATTAGAGACATAAAAACATACTGTATATGCATATTGGTGCTCAGCCTAAACTTGGTTAGCATAAACCTTGTATACTCATATACAGGAGGGATGATTTTTTGCTAAAATTAGGTACCTCGGCTTATATTCGGGACGGCTTATACTCGAGTATATACGGTAATCAGTTTTTTATTGGAGTCAATAGCCAATTACTGCTGTGGAAAATCCTGCCGTGGCTTCATCAGAAGGAACATATTCCAATAACTATAAAGGTAATATAAAGTGCTATTAAAAAAAAAAAATCATAATTCTATTACAGAAACATGATAGTTTCATGTGTAAAGGCAAAACACCTTACTGAGGATGATTGTAACCACATATGAATGTAACAGCAACTATTCTCCCATCGGAGTGAGCAAACAGGACTGCAGAGGCTCCAATAATCACGACCTAGGCTCTAACCGAGCAGCGAGGAGAGAACTGCAATGGAGGTACTGCCTAAACACAATAGCAAAGGATTCAAGGATGATGTATTTTACAATTTGAAGTGTCTGTGAAGGTCCTATAACTGCCTAAAAAGCCCTCCATAATTTTCAGCCCTAAAGCTGCCCATACACCTTGCCATCATCGCACAAAACTTTTCGTCCAATTATCGAATCGCCGTACAAAAGTCGGTTGATTGTACAGTATTTGCGGTTGCACACTGCCCATCAACCTTACAAATATCGGACGAAAACACGATTGCATATGAAAATCAGACAATATTCGTAAGGTGTATGGGCAGCTTTAGTCGTTTGGCCCTGGAACCGTTTCCTCTGTCTACATATTTGTTCTATTGGGTGTGGCTGTAGGACCTTGAACCTGATCATATTACCTCAGCTGTCTATATCTCTGAACTTTTCTGACATGTGTGGGTCTTTGAATGGCCTTAATCTAAGATGTACCAGGCTCAACCAACCTCCCTCCATAGCAGAAGAAACACACACAGAAAGAGGGATCCTTAGTGATGAAGAGTGATAACATGGAAACCAGATCCTTGCTTGGAGAAAGATATGGTGACTAGAAAAGTCAGAAGTGTAAATATGGACCAGTTGTCTTGTGGTAGAAATACAGATCACATCTTCTATGTGGTGCGGTGCAAACAGCATGTCTCTCTAACAGACATTATAGATGTCAATGTGAAATGCTGAAGTCTGTTCAGTATTATGTCAATCTGCAAGACATCTAGACACATGCTACTTATATATGACTAAGTCAGAGAAAACCTTAAAGCAGAGTTTTATTTTATATCTGCAGTGTAAACATGAGTTAAGTCTGATGGGGTGCATGATACTTTAAAGAACACTGTACTATCTAATATTTACACTTTTATTCATGCCAGGAAGTATAGCTCTGCCTTTAATTCTGGCACTGTGACAGGAGAGCTGTGTCCATCATACACTGAAGCCACACTATTGTTTGTCTCCATCTTTCCTATTTACAGAACTCTGTGTATTCTATGAACCATTCCCAGAATACAAAGTAGCTCTGGCTGCAATACGTATCTCATCTCTGGCACTGTCCCCTGCAATAATTCCTTTTTACCACTTGATGTCCTTAGTCTTCTGGGTTCAATGACGCCCAGCATCATTCACCATGGAAGACTGAGGACATGTCGTCAGTGCAGGACATGATGCGCCTGCATCATGATGCAGAGCCCATCCTACAAATGGAGGTAGAGGTATTCGCTGAATGATACTGCTCAAGCTAGCAAACGAGGAGAGTTCATGTCAAAAAGGTAAAGCCCACAGACTAACAACTATTAACCATGGTCAGCAGACAAAAAGGTGGTCCTTAAATTCCATATGTAACATGCATTACTGCATTGCAGTGCCATTCATTTTGTAATGCCATTGTGCTGTGCTAGGCTTGGCTGCTGGTGTTTACATGTGCCATTTAGGAGGAATGGACTACCTGCAGGCATATCTGCCCCAAATGTATTAATTGCTGCACATGTTCCAAGTTGGAGCCTCTTATAGTTTAGGGACCACACTACATAGAGGAGTCTTGATGATGTATTGTGGTTCCCATGTATATATTTTCAAATATGTACAAGTAAAACCTTTGTTTTTAAATCAGAACTCTGAGCACAAAATGTATTAACCCTTGCAGTAGGGCTACCCCCTGCACTGCAAAGCTTAACTCCTCATTTTTGTCTAGCTTAAAAGAAAAGTTGGGTAGCCCCACTGCAAGGGTTAATAAGATTTGTGCCAAAAGTTCTGCTTTAAGCGTTTTTTTCTAACAAAGTTATGCTCACCCGAAGTCGGTTCCTACACCGCTACCTTCAGCCTTGCTCCCCCTCGGCTCCAGCGATAGAAAGTCCCTTGGTGTCCTCAGATTCCATAAACTGTATAGAACATGATGACTCACAGGACCTGCTGGAGCGGAGGGGGAGCGAGGCTGAAGGGACCGGTCTAAGATCAAGCTTGGATCGTGGTTGGGGTGAGTGTAATGAGTATGTTATTTTAGCTCCTTAGACAAGACGAACACTTGCAGTAGCCCCACTGGAAGGGTTACAATTTGATTTGCCCAGAGTTCTGCCTTAACAAATATTATGAGACAGTGTAATTTGTTGCCGACTAGCTGGTAAGAGCACTGAATTTAGCTTTACTAATTGCTTTCCAGGTCTGTCCATACTGTTTGGGGTGTTTGGGGTTGATTTACTAAAGGAATAAAGGCTAGTGAAACCTGCCCTTAAATACCCGTGTGTGTGTGTGTGTGTGTGTGTGTTTGTGTGTGTGTGTGTGGGGGGGAGGGTATTGATTTCTAAACTAGATATGAAGCTGAATGGATTTCTTTCACTAAGCCAGGGCTTGTATGTGCCTCATAAGGTCAAGGAATGGGTAATACCATTATAGGTCTCTGAGCTGGGGGAAGATATCTTGCTTTGTGAAAGACTAGCCTCAAAACAGGATTTGGAAATAGATATTTTATGATTTTATTCTATGATGTGTTTGGTAAATTAATTTTGCTCACACCAGGCAACAAAAAAGGAAGCACGCTACCATAATGATCCAGTAGTCGACATATAACAGCACAAGAAACATGAAATATACTAACTTTGCTGCAGGATGACAAATTCTGGTACGAAAATGTTCCAGACAACATTCAATAACAATTACTTATTAACTGAATACCAATCAGATATTATTATTACAATGCAAAAAGTGCTTGTTTGGCCATGACAATTGTTCGGTTTTAGACACGCTACCCACTGTACATGGAGAACTGTACTCGATAATTAGAGAAGCTTATTTCAGTGGACATGTTCACATCTCAAACAATTATTAAATTCTGCCGATGCACTGACCATTGTGTTTATGTAGACAAAATCGTGTATATATTTACCAAACATCTCCACTGGTTTTGTGCAGTTTCTATAATATTTAGTTTAATACAATTAATATACTATATATTGCCCTTTACTGTTGTAAAAGGGAAATGAGCAGTATTCTAAAAAAAAATCCCCAAAATCCCAAAAATTGTATCTTGAAGAGAGCCTGTCCCAGGTGAGGCTCCAATCCAGTAGTGGACACTGCTTCATCCTAAACCCCTGAAATGGTCCAAGTACTGGGGCAGAGCACTCCTGTACAATATTGCACACAATGATGTATGTGCCCTGGAACTAGTATTTCTTATGGTACCCAGCAGATGGCAGCAACAAGCCCTAAAAAGAAGACTAAGATGTAGCATGTAACAAGGTGAAAAAATATGCACAAAAAGCTGTCTCCATAGTCCAAACTTGCAAAAAAAAAAAAAAAAAAGTCTTTATCAACCAGGATGGCTAAATATGTTGTACACTGAACCATCAACGGCCAAAAAGGAAACATTCAGACTATTTTCCCCATGTATTGCCTGAGTAACTTGAACCTATACATTGTTGAGCAAAAGAACATGTGAGTTTTACAGGAGAGGTCAAATCACAGACTAGGGACAGGCCCATGAAAGCCTGGGCTCAGAGACATTGGGTTGAATGATGCTGGCCGTCATTCAATACAGAAGATCAGAGACATCTAGTGGCAGAAAAAAAGTATTGCGGAGGACATATTATAATTATTATTGTTATACAGGATTTATATAATGCCAACAGTTTGCGCAGCGCTTTACAATATCAGGATTAAAGGCGAGTATTACAGCAAAATGATATATATATATATATAGCAGGGAAGAGTTAAACCCCAGAGAAACCCAAAGTAGCAATCAGTCTTTAATACTATATAGGATACAAGAAAAAGTAAGCACTGGGAAAATACCTCAATACATATATGATGCATTCCACCAGCCTTGTTCTTCTGCAGGAAACCAGAGATCGGGCTGTTCTGTCCCAGGGGATGGAGAAGTTCCAGCTTTGTGTTTCCAAGTTCTACAAACACGGTGTACACCCCATGTTCAGGAAGAGGGACAGTCTCGCTCACATGGGCCCCTAAGACATTCTGATACACAGACTTGGCTTTTTCTAAGTCAGGAACAGCAATGGCAACATGATTGAGCCGTCCTAATTTCCACAAGGAATCTGGAATCTTCTGGACCAGTGTTTGTGAAGAAGAAAGGTTTCTTTTTGTTTGAATAATGCCTCTGATCTTACAAAATAACCCTGAAAATGATAACAAATTATTAAAAGGTAGTATATTTACCATCATAAAACTGTAAAATATGGATTCTGATAGTGCGGGGGAGGGGGGGCATTAGAGCATCCATGAGAAAGAAATGGAACCAATTTCAATTTGATGGCTTTGAAGAACAGATGCACCGATATATCGGCCAAAAATTGTACTTTTGGCATAATGCCAAAAGTGTAATTTTCTGGCCGGTACAGCGGTGCATCTGTTCTTTCTCTCCTCCCTGCAGGGCGCTGCTCTGTGCCCCAGCGGGAAGGAGAGAAACTGTCCCAGGCGGCCAATCGCTACAGGAAGAGAGCGCTGTGAGTGGCCGGCGTCTGTCCTCCCTGCATTGCTCAGCCTCCTGTCACAGTCCGGCAGAGCGGTGTGGGGGCAGACACAGCCAGCGCTGTCACAGGAGGCTGAGCTCTCCTCCCTGCACAGCTCGCTCAGCCACCTGTGACAGCGTGTCAGAGAGGAGAGCGAGAGAAAACTCTTTAGCGATGAGTGATCGCTGATTGTAAATAATTGAGGACATAGTATGGTTACTATATCCTCAATTATGAATGAATGGGGAGTGATCTACATCACCCCCATTCATTCGTAGTTATAGTAAACATACTATGTCCTCAAGTTATCAATGAACAGGAACACTCAGTAAAGAGGATTCCTGTTCATTGATAACAGGGGATATAGAAAAAGAGTTTGAGTCCCCAATCTGTTTTCTATTTGAAAAGGGAAATATCAGGGGTCTGTTTAAACCCCCAATATTTCCCAGAAGCCCCTAAAAGTAAAGTAAAAAATAAAAACATTTCATAAAAAATGAATTAAAATAAAATATTAAAAAAATTAAAAAGTTTATAAAAAATAAAATATTTAAAAGAATTT